CTTGGCGGGTGGGGTGTGGGAGGTACTGCGGAGTCAGTTTTTGCTATTGGAATTGTGATATTTGGAGGGTCTTTCTGTTGCCCTCAGAAAATGTAGTGGGCATTTAAATGGCTTCTGCCTCCTCTGCTCAGCTCAGGCACTCCCCCTCGGCTCCAGGTGCGTTGGGGGCCAGACCCTCACACTTTATTTTAAAGGGGCTTGAAGATTTGTTTCTTGGTTAACCTGAGCACTTTGACCGTGGGCCCTTTCCTGGAGCTTGTTTTACTGTGGGTGTTACAGAATGTTATAAAGTTGGTCTTGTTTTGATTTGCCTTTTCCTCCTGAAAGACTGCACTCTAAAACCACAAATCATAAACAGAAGAGAGCCAGTGGCTGTTCTGGTTGGTTTCTGAGGGGTGTATTAGGCCTTAGTGCTAGAGGTGGGATCTACCCAGGCCATCTGCACCCTCACAGCTAGCCAACTGGACCTCTCCTCAGGGCTCTCCACCCCAGCGTGTCCTGGGCTCACTGCAGGCCCAAGTGCCTGTGGGAGTGGGAGGCAGTGGAATGCAAAGAGAAGCTAGAAGGTTTCTTCCTATAAAGATAACTGCCTGATCTTTCTTTTTTAAAAAGTATATACCATTGTCAAGTCACATTTCTTTATCTTCCTGGGATTAAGACCAGAGCTTGAGATTCTCTCTGAGGACATGGAGTTGTCAGAGAGAGCAAGCTTGCTGTGCACATTGTCAGCCTCCTGCCCAGGATAGTGGCTTCTGAAAGCTCCCACGTGATTTTTTTTGCTATGTGGGTTTTGTGCACCCTCTCTGCTCTCCAGTGGTACTGAGAGGGCCACCTCCCATCAGCCTTCAGCCAAACTTTCTGTGCTGCTCTTGGGGGTGAGGATCTGGAAATGATCCTACCTCTTTTTCTCACATTTTTATCCTTTCTTTTAGGCTCTTTACTCTCCTCCTTGACTCTGGGAAGGCATCTTGTGATGCTGAACCTGACATACTTTAGTCTATTTCCTTTGTGTGACCTTGAGTAAACATAAAGAATTTTTTAAAAAATTTATTTAGTATAGGGTCTCACTACACAGATTGGACTCATAGTGATCCTCCTGTATTCAGCCTCCCAAGTGCTGGGATTACAGGTGCATGCCACCACCCCCAGTCTCAGTTGGCGTCTCAGTGTGCTCCTGGGGCGGGGCCCGCATGGCAGGCAGGGGATCAAACCCCGGCCCCTGTGTCTGTCTAAGCAGGCATTTTAATCTGCTGAGCTATTTGGCCAGCCTCATAAAAGAATTTTTGCCTTGATTGTGTTTTACCATCCTAGGGTTGCTACACTGCTGGCGTGCTCTGAAGAGACTCCTGTGCACCTCTGGTCCACCTTACATCCAGTTCAGCTCTGCTTGGAATGCTAATTTTCTTAAGAACCTTCTCTCTCCCTTTGAATGTAGTATGAGCATTTCCTGTTGCACTCACTCTGTACAGTGTTCAGTACTGCTCACATTTTTCACTTTGGGGGGACAAATTTTCCTTATTACCTAAATAGACGGTTGGATGTTCTCTGCACTTACCCTACATTTTCCTCCTTCCATGCATTTGCTTCAGACTGCCACTTCCCTTCCTGATGAAAGCCTGCTGCAGCTCCCCACAGTGCATGGTATCTCCTGCTCTCAGTTTCCTCCTGTGGCATACATCACATTCTTTGCTATATGTACTGGAGTAAGTTGGTGTGTGGAACTCTTGAGAGGGTGTGGAAGGGACTGGGGCAGTGCAGCAGCAGAGGCTTGCTTCTCACTGTGTCCCTCTGGAAGGTTTTTTTTTTTTTTGTTTTTTAGGATTGGACTCATAGTGGTCCTCCTGTTTATAGCCTCCCAAGAGCTAGGATTACAGGTACATGCCACCACACCTAGTCTCTCTCTCTCTTTTTTTAAGAAACCACGTATATACATTTTCCATGAGGCCTTTCTGGTAAAAGTATTTAAATAAGAAAATCCCAATCTTGGGCCAGCGAGATAGCTCAGTGGACTAAGCACCTGTGCTGCCCCCCAGGTGCACTGAGCTGGCCACCAAGTCCTGGCGTATTGGCGCATGCCTGTAATCCCAGAGCTGGGGAGGCTGAAAACAGGAGGATCACTGAGTCCGAGCTGCATAGTGAGACACTATGCCTAATACATAAAACAATAATAAATTTAAAAGGAAAACCTAATCTATAAAACATTATAAGAAAATATGTAGAGTATGCTTATAACCTTCAAGGAGGGAAAGTGTCCATGTACTGAACCAAAGTCCCAGACAGCATAAAGAAAGCCACCTTTTAGCATGTGTGCTTGTCATACTATTTGACTACGGATGCCTGAGGGGCTTATTTTTTTATCTTCAGAGCTATAACAGTATGACCCCATACATAGTGATCCGTAAATATCAGTTAAAGCAAAACTAAATTGAATCGCAAGTCTTTTCTTTGCAGACCTCACTTTCTTCACTTATAAGATTAATGCTAGGTAACCTCTGGAGTCTTGTTCTAAGGTTCTGTGGATTTGTGGGTTTCACAGGCAGAAATAGGCTCAGCAGCCTTCCTTCCCTTGGGAGCCTTTTCCCAGAGGACTGCACCTGGAGTGCTTCTGACTGCCTTTGGGAGCTGCCTTGAGTGCCTGGCAGGTGTCATGTCCAGGAAGTGAACCCATTAGACAGTTTGAGGAGGCTGGGAAAGCCTGTGACAGGCTTGCTGCCCTGAACAAACGAGGGAACTTGAGCGTGTAGAGCAGTTGTTGACCAGCTCTCTGAGCAACTCAGCCACAGCCTGAATACCTAGCAGGGTTGACCCTGCTTTTGTGCAGTGTGGCATTCTGGCCATGTGGCCCGATTAGAACCTTGTCCTTTGGGAGAACTGGAGTGGGGTGAGGGGCTTTATTTAGGCTCATCTTCTACTTTTCTAAAAGGCACTGAACTTCTCTTTCAGATCCCTGGACTCCCAGCTTTGTTGCTAAGATTTTTTGTTTTAGTTTTTGATCCAAGGCCTTGAACTCACTAGGCTGGCATTGAACCCAGGCTGGCCTTGAGCTCCCAATCCTCCACTCATGTCCTGAGTGCTGGGATTATAGGTGTGCACCACTGCATCTGGCTTTGTTAACAGTTTTTTTAAAAAATAGGCTGGAGGTAGCTCAGTATAGAACATGTGTCTAGCATGCCCTGGTTTTCATCCCCACCTCATCAAATAGATAAAATGAATTGAAGTGTCTTATCTTCCCATCTGCAGGTATACGCAGCTCGAGGGCAGGGAGGCATCGCCTTTGTGTTCCCCTGGTACCCACCCCAGTGTGCTCTGTAGCAGTCTAGATTGGCGGGAAGTATTGCTGCAGAGTCCTGGAGGGTACCCAGGCCAAGCGCGGACGGGAGCAAGCCAGTGCCTGATCTTGGACAGTTGGGCCCTACAGTGTAACTCCCAAGTGTCTGGGGCTGTTAGAGGAAGTGAGAAAAAATGATTGTCTGGTTCCGATGCAGATGTCTTTGTGGTACTCAGCGTGGTGAGTAGGGAGGGTATGATGGGTAAAATCAAATTTCCTTTGGAGACTGACTCCTATGCAATATAGAGGCCATTCTTCTGCATGTGGTGAGGGGAGGAAAGGATATGTAGGCCACATTTCCCTTCCTGTCAGTGACAGCCTCAGTTCCAGGTTGTCTGGTCTGCAGCCTTCCCAAGGGTTGGCTCTGCTTCTTACGTGTTCCTGTCAGGTTCTTCACAACAGCACTGTCAAGTGGAGACACAGAATGTTTCACCACGGTACCACCATCCTCTCTGTCTTTGCAGTGTGCCCCTTGCCCCCGGAACCAGAGAATGGTGGCTACATCTGCCACCCCCGACCCTGCAGAGACCCCCTGACAGCAGGCAGTGTCATTGAATACCTGTGTGCCGAAGGCTACGTGTTGAAAGGGGACTACAAATACCTGACATGTAAGAATGGCGAGTGGAAGCCGGCCATGGAGATCAGCTGCCATCTCAATGAGGGTCAGTCTGCAAATGAGAAGGGGGTGCTCTGGGGTTCGGCTTTTGTGCCTCTAGGAAGCAGTGCCTGCAGAGCACCCTTGCCTGTGCTGTGTGTAGCTGTGTTTGCCCTGCAGCCTCTCTTTGGGATTTCATGTCTTTGTGGAAGACATTGGGGTTGCTGGTACATGTCCCATTGTGTTCCACTGAGTCATCGAGGGGCTCTGTGTCCTCACCGAGATGTCCGCTTTGCTGTGTCAGGTCCCTTTGATGCTCAGGATCTTGTTGGCCTAGCCAAGAGCTGCTGACCTTTGACTGTCCTGCTAGCACAATGTGCACAGTGCTGACTGGGTAGTGTCTCTTTCATTCCATTTTTCCTTGAATGGAAATGGATTGTTTTGTTATGGAACTGTAGTCCAGCTGGACAGAGGCCCCCTCTTCCCTCCTGCCTCCTCCTGTCTTGCATGACTGGAAAATCCAGTGGCCTGAAGGGAAGTATGTGTCATGTGGTCATTTTTGTGCTGCATACTTTGGCTGCAAGACCTGAGCATGTTTAACCAGTGACACCCCAGAGAAGAGTAGGAACCAACCTGAGATCTACAAGCATAGCTGCAGGATGTTAGAGTTAGCCCTCCTTATGGGGAAAACCATGCTCAGACTCTAGATGGTGGAATGATATGTTCATTTTCATGGGTGATGTTCACCAGCCTGTTGCTGAGGGTTGGATCAGAGTGGTTCTTAGGCCAAGAGCCCTTGGGCTAATGAGTTAGGTTGATATCAGAGGGACCTCAAAGGCTGGAGGTGAGGGGAAGCTTCTATTTAAGAAATGGGAGAGGGAAACAGTGCCTTTCCTGGCGCATTGTGGTATATAGGCTGCTCTGTGTGCTTTTCTGAAGAGGCCCTTCTATGGGATGTCTCTCTAGGGGGCAGCAGGCAGGGGGCATTTGACTGCATCAGTTGTGGACCTGTGCTTGGTACATCTGGGAAGGGAATTCTGATGAAAGCTTGTTCCCATAGACAAAGAAACCCACACGTCCCTTGGAGTCCCCACGCTGTCCATAGTGGCATCCACTGCCAGCTCCGTGGCACTCATTCTCCTCCTTGTGGTGCTGTTCGTGCTGCTGCAGCCAAAGCTAAAGTCTTTCCATCATAGCAGGTAAGTGCTCCACTGGGACAAGCCACAGGCATTCCTGTGGGCTCGCCTTTACCTGGCTGGGAGAAGCTGGTGGCCTACAGTGTCTTCTGTCTGTGTGTCCTGGGAACCCAGGCGGGGAGAGCCCTGCCATGTTATGCTTGTGAACATGCCTAGCTGCTTTGCATACTTAGCAGAGCTGACATCTGAACCCAGATCTGTTGAGCTGCAAAGCTGTGGCATTTGCCTGTCATCAGGGCTTCTCAGAATGTGGTTCCAGGAGTAGCAATGTCCCTGGGAGTGGCTAGGGATGCACATTTGCTGTCCTCAATTCAGACACCAGAATGATGCTTTAGGGCCGAGGCTCAGTGCTGGGGTGGTGCCGGTGTGCACACAGGACTGTGTGGAAGGTCAGAGAATACCAAATTCTATAAAATGCCCCAGATTTGGAACTTACAGCAAGGAGCAGCCCAAATTTAATCTCTCTATACTAGTGATGGCAGACCTTTTAGATCTTTCAGAGATAATAAGCAGCTGGCTATGGCACACCTGCCCTAGGTTGGCCACTACTGCTTATGGTATATGTACAGTCCTTGAGCACTTGTTTGGAGGTTCTAGCAGGGGAGCGCAGCTACTCGTATACCCTTGACGGCAGAACGGGGGTCATCGTCCTCTTCAACCAAGCGTGCAGCTTCGGGAGGGACACACATGGATCGTTGAGGGAGGAAGGGAACACCCGCCTAGCCAGCCAGATCAGCCAAATCAACCCTGGCGATCAATGGGGTGACAGATGTCACAGCCGGATCGCCCTCATATCCTATGGTATATGTGATTTGTATTTTTGCCTTTTGTTTTGTTTGAAGGGATAGTGCAGTCATTTTTGAAGGTTATTGATAGAATAGAGAAAATTTGATGGGGTTTACTTATCGGTATTTCATCTCAGAGTTTCATTTACTAGTTATTGAAGGTAACTAGTAAGTTTATTAAAAGCAACCAGCTGATTCTTTTTTTTTTTTTTTTGCTTAACTTGGATAGAAGGGAGATTGATTTTTATTATGGATCCTACTTAAATTTTGTACCATGTATATGTATTATTTTTTAAACAACACAAATTTATTTTGAATAATGGGAAGTAAGCACATGCCACTATACACACTGCTTTCTCTGCTACCTTGTCAGAGTTTCCCTTCCTTCCCAAAACCTCCAAGCACTTTTTAAGGGCACCACTCTCTCATCCTCACAGTGTATACATTATTTTGTTTTTTGTTTGTTTTTTGAGACATGGTCTTGCTAGTCCAGGCTGGCCTTGAACTTATTTGATCCTTTGCCTAAGTCTCCTGAGCTCCAGGATTATAGGCACGTACCACTGTGCACAGAGAAAGCTGTTAGCAACGATTGTGAATGATCATGTAGCCCAGCGGTAGGCTGGTGTGTGCACCGAAGTGATGAACTGAGAGGACATCATCACAGGTGCAGTGAAAATTTGACCTCAGTCTGATCTTGAGGAGACAATAAATGCATCCAGATTGTCAGTCATCCCACAGCTGGCCTGGAGTCCTGTAAAAATGCCAGTATCATAAAAGAAAAATGAGAGTAGATTGTTTCAGTTGACAGAGATGAAAGGGACTAGACAGCTAAATGCAGCTCATGATCCTTTATTGGATTCTGGGTTGAAGCAAAGACTACAGGTGAAATGAATACAGTTTTTGGAAGCTTGTATTCCACGGCCATAATGTTATGTTTCTGGGGTATAATAAGGCTAAAGTTATGTAGGAGTGGAGGTGCGGAGAAAGATTGTCTACATAGTACCTCAGTTCACTTTCACCTGGCTCACAAAGAAAGGTGTAACAGAAATGGTCCCCCAAAAGTGTGTGATAGAAATATAGGTATGAGACAAAAGCCTAATGTCCCAAGAGAGCAGGGAGCAATATAGCCCGAGGAGAGCTGCTGTCTCTCACTTGTAGACCCAAAGGCTGCAGATAACAGCTTCTCCTGCTGGCACCCTGTTCTTTGATCCCTTGCTTGGGATGCTATTAGCAAACACTTGTGTGAACCTAGTTTTAGGCAAATGGTAGAAGTCCAGAGAGAGCAGTTTGTGTTCACTTACGTAATCATGCACATTCCTGAGCCTGCCTTTAGCTCTCAATAAATGTGAGATGCTTCTGAGGCTCTGGACTCACTTCAAGAGAGACTAATCTCAGTGAGACCTCTGAAGCTGTATTCATCGGGTCTTCTCGTCGTTTCTTTTGGCACTGACTCATAATGTACAACAGTGTCTGTGGGAATAAGCCTTACAAAGTGGGTAAAAGAAGTAGAGACAAATGTATTTGCACACACACTTTTATTGTGAGTCTCATTCATATATGTAGTTAGAAATTGTAGGACTACATGGTGGCATTAGAAGATTCGGGTTTAGTAAAACTGTTAGGGGTACAAAGCAGAAGGAGCAGTTTCCATGCAGTCACTTTAGTGAGGCATGGGAGTGGCGGTCTAGGTGCAAGAAGGTGGCAGCCTGTAGCCTTGTGAGATTTCTGGCCTCAGTAGGAGTCTCACCCTGTTGTCACCCTGGGAGCAAACCAGTGAGCTCTATGTCAATTTGTCTATGTATTCTTCACTGTATTTGCATAATAATTCACATACAATTTTAAGTTTATTAAGTTTTAAGCAAAGTGGTTGAGTCAAAAGAACAAAATTCTTCTGACCTCCAGCCCAGAATCCTATTTCAAGACCATAGTCCCCTCTGCCTACCAGTCTGGAGATACCCTTTGTATACCTGAGTTCCCACTGAGAGCGTGCAGTGGAGTGGTTTTAGCATACTCATGGAGTATGCCTCCACGGCTCTTCTTCTTTTATCCCCTAGCTGAGCTGAATGGGTGATTCCATGTCTAGGTCTGGAGGCTTCTAGCTTTGCACAAAGTTAACGGCATGGTCCCTGGGAGCGGCTGGGCCTGGGTTCAAGCCCTAGGCCCATCCGTACTAGCTCTGTGCAGGTGGCAAGTTCCTTGACATCTGGGCCTCATCTGCATTTTTCGTGATTTGCAATCTAAAAGGCCACATGAGGACTCAGTGTGCTAAGGTGTTTAAAGCACTCAGTGCTGGGCGTGCCATGGCACATACTTAAGTGCTCAAAAGTGATGACTTTTAGCTGTGGTAGCACAGGTCTGTAGTCCAGCCCCACCAGGGGCCTATATGGGAGGATCACAAGTCTGAACCCAAACTGGGCAATTGAGTTATTTAGACTTTTCTCAAAATAAAAAATAAAAAGGCAGCAGAGGATGTGCATACAACCTGGTTTCAACCTCAGTCTTAAAGAGGGAAAAGAAAAGGTGGCTTTTGCTGGTATAATGCTGTTTACTTATCTGTGTTCATTTTCCTTTCCTCCCATCCAGGCGTGACCAAGGGGTGTCTGGGGACCAGGTCTCCATCATGGTGGATGGAGTGCAAGTTGCACTGCCGTCTTATGAGGAGGCTGTGTATGGCAGTTCTGGTCACTGCCTGCCCCCTGCCGACCCCAGAGTGCCCATTGTGCTGTCTGAAGGGGCTGGGCCCAGCAGTAGGAGCCTGCCAAGGGAGCAGCAGGGCCAGAGCGCCTGCTCTTCTGTGGCTGGGGAGGAGGAAGCTCCAGGCCAGTCTGGACTGTGTGAGGCGTGGGGCCCCCGGGGCTCAGAGACTGTGATGGTGCACCAGGCGACCACCTCATCCTGGGTGGCTGGCTCAGGGAGTGGCCGGCCAGCACACAAAGAAGCCACAGACTCAGAGAACAGCGACATACAGAGCCTTTTATCTCTCACATCAGAGGAATACACAGACGGTAGGTGGCCTGTGACAAACAGAAAGCCCTAGCTATTTGGAGTTCTAGCTGGGAGTGAGGAAGGATGGTGGGCTTTTCTAATGATTGGTGTGCTTTGGGCAGAGAAAGATAATATTCAGGTTTTTCCTGTAGAGCACCATGTAGGCCCTTGGGCTCTCCATAGAGAAACTTTTCATTGTTTGGAAGTATTGATGGTCTTGGACACTATACATGGCCACACACAGGACAGTGCTAAGTAAAAGATGGACAGTTGAAGGGGGTTGGGCAGTCCCACACTTACAGTTTGTAAGTTCCTGAAAGGTCAGCAATGACAAGGAGGCCTGGGTTATACCCCAGAGAGAATCCCTGTGTCATTCTAAGCGGACTGTGCCAGGTCCTGTACTCGTCGGTTTCTGTGTGTCATCTAGTTACCGTCTCAGTTCAACCTCATTGAGATCCTGTAGGGTACCTCTTTACCATTGTCCCCATTTAGGGAAACTGAGACCCAGAGAGGGTAAGTCCCTTGCCTATTAGTAAGTGATTGGGCTGGGATTTGAAGTGATGACTGATTTAAAAACCTGGAGTGCTGTGCTGCCTCCCAGGTGACTCCAGTTCATGCATTGCGAACTGGCCATAGAACGACATTTCTGCCTCCTGACACTTGTGCCTTTGCTGGAGTCTGGAGAGCTTAATCCCAGGCTTGACTCTGTCACTTTAAAAAAATGTCTTTAAGTGATATCTTGGTGCAGTTCAGGATATAGACTAAACCCGGACACTTCTGTTTTTGACAGTGATGCCTTTTATGCTCAAGAGAGCCTCCCTGAAAAGGCCCAGAAGGACCACCCTGCCTCCTGTGTGTGCTGGGCACGCAGAGGAAAGCTCATAAATACAGCTCATGCATTGCCTTCTTTTTTCTCAGTTGGCAAGAGCGATGGCAAAGGAACTGAACAGCTGCCCTCCCCCCCGTTAGTGCTGTGTGCCCATGTCCAGGGCAAACGGCAGCCCTCGTCCTCCGTGGGGAGCCGGGGTGTGCCCTGCTCTTCTGGGCTGCCTTGCTCTGTTCCTTACAATGAACAGTTGTCTTGGGGAGCCCAGCCTGTGCTGCGGCTGAAGGAGGTTTCAGGAGTGACACAGGAAATAGGAAAGATGTTCTCTGCTACATGGACTGTCAGCCAACTAGAAACTGTGGGGGACCCACACTGAAGCACTGTGGTGGAAGCAGGGATTGTAGAATTCGCATTAGGATCAGGGGCTGAGAGCAGTACATGTGCTTCAGTGAGTTTGTAGCAGGCCAGGCCGGAGCTGGCTGGGATGTGAGAGGAAGGCAGGAGACTTGACATGTGTCAACCCTCCACCTCCTGTGACAGACTGGGAGACTAAAACTCAGGGAGTAAAAGTGATTTGTCCAGGGTCATGCAGTGGGCAGGTAGGTTTGAGGAAATGGTGCGACTTGAGCAGGGCGTGGTGACTTCATAGGGAGGGGTTAGGAGAGAGATGGAAGTGGCAAGGCGGGCAGAGTAGAGAGAGAGGGTTTGTGTTAATGGGGACGGGAAAGGTTTGAGTGCCCTGCTGAGCATTCAGATCTTACTACACAGACAGGGAAAGATGAGCTAGAAAGGCCTAAAGGAAGAGAGAATTTTTGACTCCCTAAACATAGGACATTTTGTTCCTGTGGGCTGTGGGGAGGGTCCCATGGGTAACGGCTGTGCTTGCCCACCCTGTCTTCCTGCAGATATCCCGCTGTTGAAAGAAGCGTGAGGGCTGCCGCCCACCTCTCCTCTCTGCGAGGTCTTCTCTGTCCCTCCTCCTGCTCCCTGTGGGCTTGAGCACCCTGTACTCCAGCCATCCCATCTGGACACCTGAGCTGCCACCTGTGTGCCCGTGCGTCTCTGAGGGCCTGCAGGCCACCTCTCTGGAGACTCAAGGAAGATCCTGACCATCTGCCTGGACAGCTGGAGCAGCTGGCTCCTTGCCTGGTCCAGCCTTCCCATCTGTTGGGATGGATTTGAATGTGCTGGATTGGACCCACCCTTTCCCCAGCCTCTGAGCCCCTTCCAGCCAGTGCTGTGGTGGCAGCCCTGCAGCTGCGAGGGGCAGAGCACCACTGGGTTTACTTGTGCCTTCCCCCAGCCCGTCTAGTTTCCTGGTCACAGCCTTAGTGGCTGCAGCTCCTGCAGGCGGAGGCCTGGCCCGCTGCTGTGCTCCCCCTCACCCCCCAAGAGCAGAGCCAAGAGTGAGAGCCTCTGCTGCTTCAGTGGGCCCCTAGGTTGACATGGTGGCACATTTCCTTGGCTGAGAATAGAGAGTTTAGAAAATCATGCCACAGCCATCCCCGCACCTGCTGTCCAGCTCAGGTGTAGGTTCCTGGCCCTTTGCAGAGTTTCCAGCAAGAGTCCAGAAGATCCCAAGGGAGGAAAAAGGAGATGCCTGGTAGTGATTGTCTTCCTAATATGCAAGTTCTCATGACCTGCTTCCAGCATTGCACCTTGGCCTTGGTCTTTTCTGTTCCTTGGGTAGGAGGCGTTGCTTGCTACCTCCTGGGCTTCTTCCCAGGCAGCTCTGGCTGCTTTGCTGCCCACAGGGCCTGAGGCACATCACCCTAGTAGTCCTAGGCCCACCCCAGGAGTTCTCGGGTGCCACCCAACACTTGCCTGGCCACAGGCAGTCTGGGCAGATAACTGCTTTCTGGGTTTGTGATGAGGGAGGGGAGGCCGAGAGGCACAGACTAAGTTCCTGGGCAGCTGCTGGCGGCTCCACCCAGTTCTGAGGATCCTCCTCACCGTGGTCACGTGCCTTAGTAACTGTGCCAGGGAAGCGGCCTGTTGCATGCTGCACCTCTGCTTTTCTCCTGCTGTCCTTCGGTGCCCTGCACGTGCTATGGCTGAGAAGCCACTGCTGTCTTCCTTGCCCTCCAGGGAGGAGTGAGGAAGGGTCCCCAGCATCCCTTACCTTGCTGGCCAAAGTGAGTGAATGGCTCCCAGGTCCCGTGGACAGAGCCTGCGGTGTGGACGCTGAGCCTACAGCCATGGCGTGTACCCGTAATCTCTCCCGGGAACCTTCTTTGTCCTGCGGTGCAGGTGGGCAACTGGGAGCTCCGCAGGCTGCGACCTTCAGGCCACAGACGTGGCATTAAGGAATGTTTGCTTTTGCTTTTGCTTTCTTTTCCCTGAAACACTGGGGCTGGGCAGTCTCAGTGCCGCTGTTGTTCCTCTGTTCTTGCGAGCACCTCTGGTGCCAGCAAAGTAATAAAAAGCCCGGTTCAGGACTGACCTAACAGGGTTGGCTCCAGGCGCGGGCGGCTGTAGCTGGTGAGCGTGCTGCTCCCAGGCCGCTCCTCTGCCTCCTTGCTCACGATGCACTTTACTTCCCCGTCACACCTGGCCTCCTGCTGCCCCTCATCTCCTTTCCTCTCAGGGTAAGGGTACTGCCCGCTGTGCCTGCTGGCCACCCCCACACATCTCCCATCCACACGGAAGCCCATCTGTTGTGCTGAAAAGCAGGCAAGCAAAGTTGTACGTAGGGAATGGGTTGGAGAAGGTGCCAGAACTAGAAGGCTGAGCCTGAGGGAGGAGACACAGCCGCCACAGTTACTGGCATGGGCCACCTAGTGGGGGTCCTAAGGCCCCAGCTGCCTTAACACGTGGACCCTCTTGGAGGCACAGCGGTGCCCTTGTCTCTCTCCAGGAGAGGTACTGTGAGAAATGTGGCAGCAAGGCTGAGTCTCATGGCTGAGCCTTTAGCTTTTGTTTTTCACTCTTCCAAAACCAAATTCTGTTATAGAATATCTTTTCTAAATAGAAGAGCCTACCCTTCTCTGTGTAGTTGCTCTGGACTTTTGCCCCCTCTGTGCCAGGTTTGTTCTCCTGATACCTCCTTCCATCTCACCGCTGCACACACTGCCTGGGGCTGGACCTGCCCACTGATCAGGAGAGTGCAGGGCTGGAGCAGGTGGACGGCTCAGAGGCGGCCCTTCAGCACCCCTGGGTATGCAGGTGCTCACGCTGGGCACACGCTGGGGCCTCTGGCTGGCGGCTCTCACATTCTCTCCCCCAAGGCAGTTTCTCAGCTCCAGCCACATGCTGCTGTTCCTGGGACTTCTGAGCTTTGTTCCTTGTGGAGGGATTGGGACTTCAAGCTGCCTTGATGTGGGGCTTGGCTGTAGAGACAGTGGGTAGCCCCCAGCAGGCTGTGAGGAGGGCACGGGCAGGTGGGCGCTGCAGTGCCACCCATGTGCAGGACACCTACCTGCCCGCAGGGGCCACACTGAGGGACTTTCAGAAAGGATTCTTTTTCTACTCTTGAGCTAGCTCAATGCAGTCTGTCTGTCTGTCTGTCTGTCTGTCTGTCTCTCTCTCTCTCTCTCTCTCTCTCTCTCTCTCTCTCTTTCTCTCTCATCCTGGTGATGTTCTAGCAACTTCTAATTTGTGGAAATCAGAATATGGTGGAAATCACTTAACCTGTCCATTGCACTCATGCCTTAGTTCAGCAGGTAGGCTCTGTCTTCTGCATTTCTGTATTTTATGTGCTGTATTTCACTGGGTGTGAACTGTGAAATGGCTGGGTCCTGGCCACTGTGAGTTTGGTTTTATAAGACATTTCAGTGTACATTCTAGAAGCACTCCATTTGCAAAGAGAACGTAATCTTATCTTTCCCATCCATCTTGCCCTCCTTGTCCCCCCCCAGCTTTAAAATTCTGTGGAGAAGCCAGATCACAAGAGAGACAAAGGTATATTTTTCCTGCTTCATGAGTAGTGGCACAGGACAGACAGCCGTGGCCCCTTTTCTCCCTGGCCACACGTTTACTGTGTAACATTGCTGCCTTCCTTTTGTGGGAACATTCTTGCATAGAGAATGAAACGCACTGCAGACGTTTCTTGGCCCTTGCCCCCCCTACTCCCCAAGGAGCAGAGAGTAGCTAGGACGGAAGTGGCACGCAGCCGTCACGACTTGCAGTGAGTCCAGAGGTGCTTGCCAAGGAGAGCGAGCTAAGAGCGTTTCGTGAGGCCGGCTGGTCTCCTGCAGGGCTTGGAGAATATTTTGCTTGGCAGATGTTTGTACTGAATCTTGCAGTAGCTACTTCCCTGGAGAGGGAAAGGTGGCAGACCAGCTTTTCTGGGATGTGTCTCTTAATTTCCTTGAAACCCTAGTAGAATTTGGAACAAAACCCCCAGTGTTGAGCCCTCTGCCCAGCAGCCCAGCTAGTGGAGGGTGAGGGGGCAAAGCACTGAGATCGGCTCGCCTGGCGGGGGGCAGAGGTGGTCTGGGGTCACGTGGCAGCACCCACCCTTGCCCTGGCTTCTTGAGGCTGTCACACCACTATGGGATCCTCTGCAGAATGGTACTCACGTAATGGCTTATAACAACACATGCATAATTGACTCTGTGCAGGATGTCACTCAGATCAGTTTGGGTTTGCTTTATTTTATATATATATATTTTTTGGTATCCTGTACATTGCAGCGGGTGTGAAGATAGTATTTTAATATTTGTACAAAGTTTAATTTAATTTTAATTGTTCTATGTATATAACTGCATTTCTAAATAATAATAATAAAAAATTCTTATGAAGGTATTTGTGAGAGATGTATTCTTTTCAGAAAGTTTTTGCAGAAACCCTGGATTGAAAAGAGCATCCTTGGCCAGGCATGGTGGCGCATGTCTGTAATCCCAGCACTCGGGAGGCTGAGGCAGGAGAATTGCTGAAAGTAACAAAGTGAGTTTAAGGCCAGCCTGAGCTGTACAGCAAGACCCTATCTCACAAAGACAAGAAAAGAAAAACATCCGTGGAAATTGTTGCCTCTTTTCTTGGTCAGGAGCTCACACAGTGCTGGCCTCTGGGAGGTGGATGTTCTGGTCGGGCCTGGAAAGAGTGTGGGACATGCTGGGAGGGTCAGGAGTGCTGCGGCCCCGTCAGTGGCCCAACCTGGATAAGCGTGGCACAAGAGCTGTCAGAGGGTGCCCTGGGAGGCAGAGGCTTGGAAGCTGCAGTGTGAAGGATCAGGCAGCAAGGTCAGGCCGGGTGCCACCCGTGTGGGTGCCAGAGCACAGCAGGCACCCAGGTGGGTGTGGTGCTGTAGTGCTTGCCTGTATTCCCAGCTTGGTGGGAGGCCAGGTCAGGAGGACTGCAAGTCAGCCCAGCCCTGGTGATCTAATGATTCAGCAAGGCCTAATCTTGAGAGGAAAAAAAATCTGGAAGAGGGTGTTGGCTCATTGTGAAACCCCTGGCTGTCCCCAATACTGAAGGTAGCCTCTTGCAGAGCAGAGCAGAGTAAGCCAGGGCAGAGGACCTTAGCAGCAGTGACAGTGTAAGGCTAGAAAGCCACACCAGTGGTTCATTAACTTTCTTTTCATTTCTTTTGAAGTTTTAAAAATGTGTGGTTATTCTTTACAAGAAAGGCACCTTGAGTGTTAAGTCCAAGTTTGAGATGAGAAGTGAAAAGAGTGATTTTCCTTCCCAGTTCAAAGTACACATGCAAATGCACACGCACCCCAGCCATGGGACCCAGGAGGGCTCCAGGCTTCTGGCCTTTGCTGCCCCCTGCAGTTGTGGCAGCCACATGGCGGGGCCTGTGAGCAACACCAATCCTGCCGGTGAAGACACGGGCCCCAAACCATGAACTGCTACTGTGTGCTGTGGCCACACAGCTCTGAAATGATGGAGATCGGGGCTCAGCCACGGCTGTGTCACAGGCCCGTGTCCTGGCTGCTGCTCTGGAGAACACCACCTGTACCATGCAGGCTTCCTGGGGAGGTGAGAAGCAAATCCTGGTGGGAAACCACGGCATGCAGCTGGTGGCTGGCCTCCTTGTGGCTTCCAGGACGTCATTTTCTCTCTTGACATGTACCTTAGTCTTTCTGCAGGGTTCAGAACAGGAAAGACACTTGGCTGCAGATCTCAGAGCCCTGCTCTGTGTGGCTGCAGGCTATCCCCTTGTCCCAGCTTGGTGTGTGTCCCACATCCCAACAGGTCACCTCTGACACATGGCTTACCACCCTCTCCTCCCACCCAGCTTTTGACCCAGCTTGTGTTGTGGAGGAGCTGGAGGGGCTGGAAGGACGCTTCAGTGTGATTCTCCAGGCCAGTTCTAGGAGGCACTCAGCAGACACCCTGACTCCCCTGGAGTTGGGAACTAACTCCTTACTCCCTGCTGGTTGCTTCAGACAGGGCTCAGGCAGGTGGCAGCAGAGTGAGCCTGGCATGGAGCGGTCTCCGCGGTCTCATACCTGAGCGGTACTTTGAGTTTGATGCTTTTGTCTTCCCAGAGTGCTCTCTGGCGGGGGCTGAGGCTTGTCTGCAGTCTGTGGTAGGGAGTGAAGGGCTGGGGGGAGGGGTGCTGGGGGGTGCTGCCTCTGTCCCCTGTGCTGCTGGTGTCAGCTTCTGCTGCTCCAGGAACACAAGACAGGCGGGAACTGCGGCTGCTTCTTATACCTTGGCAGCCAGAGGCAGGACTGGAGACCCTGGGAAGGAAGGCCTAGCTGGAAGGGAAGGCCCTCCGCTTCCTCCTGCTTTGGCTGGGAAGAGGGGCCAGATGGAGGATCTGGGTGCCCTAGCCCAGAGCAGGAGCTGGCACCTGCCTTCCAGGAAGGCCCATGATACAGGTCTCAAATCTGTCCGTAGGACAAGAGGCAACTGCTGAACAGTGGTCTAGGCAGGCAGCGTGAGCTGTTGTAGGGCATTTGTCGTGCTCCACAAGGCTGGGTAAGGTGTTTAAAGATAGTATTTTATTCAGTCAACTCAACCATTCTCATGTTGATGTCTCTGAGATGGGTCTCTTGCTACACACTTGAGGCTGGCCTTGTACTAACTCACTTTGTAGCCCAGACTGGCCTCAGACTCACAGCGATCCTCCTGCCTCAGCTTCCTGAATGAACTCAGACATTCTGAAAGAGAAATATCATCTCCTACCATGCTCCATTTTACAGGTAAAAAAGTCAGAGGTTCTGCTGTAGCCCAAGGCCACATAGGTGTAGAACATTCGCCCAAGCAGGGTTCTATTCCAAGTGCCACCCTAAACGCCTAGCCCTTCCCTGCTCTTCACCGCTCATATGCCCCACCTGTCTTCCTAGCTTCCTGGTCCCTACTTCTGGAAGGGTCTTCCCCAGCACTGCCTGTGTCTTGCCTGCTGTCTCACCCAAGGACCCCTCCCTGGAATGCCAAGGACAGGGTGCCAACCCACTTCGAGCCCTGCCCTCAGCCTGGGTGCCTAACAGTACCGCCCCTCCCCCAGGATGGGTTCTGTGCCTGGCGGGTTCTGCTGTGCACCTGGGCTTCACTCAGAAGGGAGGGACTGCACCAAGAATGCTCTGGATTCCCAGCTCTTCCGGCCCCACCTCGGGGTCTCCCACTCCAGGGCTTGCTGGGCTTTCCTCTCTCAGCCCCCACACCTAGTTCCATCAGATTGTGAATGTGGAGTGAGACTGGACATGTTCCCATGCTGGGCTTGGGCCCTTCCTCCAAGTTGTGATGGAGGGACTTTGCAGGAACCGGAACTTCCCCACCCACATGCAGGACTGTGAATGCCTGACATTTTAGATGTCCTTTGATACCACAGTGTCCCCAGAAGAGGAAATTTCACAATATAGACCTGTCCCAAGCTGCCTGTCTGGGTAGCCTAGCCTTGCTGTGTCTGGGCCGGAAGATGATTCTGGGGCTCTCAGCTGGCTCAGGGAGAGTTTAGCAAGGGTGGACATCCCGCAGTGACAGTGCCCAGGGGGAACAAGCTCCAGGCCAACCACTGAACCCCTGGGGGGACAAGAAGGAAGGCACACAGTGCCTCTCCAGGAATGCCCACAGTCAAAAACTCCTGCCTTAGTCCGGAAAGAGAGCTCAGTGGCATAAGCACCCACCTGGCAAGCACAAGGTCCTGAGTTTGATCCCCAATACCAAAAAATAAAAAAAATTAAAAAAAATACTCCTTCCTCACTCATTTACTTTTGTTTTTCAATGCCTTTGTCTGTCAGTTCATTGGACAAACCACCAATCTGTTTACGCAAAGCACAAAGCCTGCTATGAAACTTCAGTCTTTCTTCAAGGCATTTGCAGTCTAATAGAGAAGAAAGATAAGCAGTAACTTAAAACTTGTGCACAGCTTTAAAAAATAAAAGCAAAAACCTGTACTGACAGCCAAGTACCTGGGGAGTGAAGAAAAGGAGTTCATTTCTTTGGAGTGGTCAATGAAGAGTCCTTAGGGAAGGTGCCGTTCGCTGTGGGTCTTAAAAGGCTGAATTGTGTTTCAATATTACTGAGAAGCAAACCAAGGCCTGTGTGGTAAAGTAGGAAAAAGAGGACTTTTCTGGGTATAGAAACTCCCAGAAGCAAAAACAGTGACATCTAAAACTAGGAGCCATAAGAAAGTGCCAATTTTGCCAGTTTTTTTTTTAAAGGTCAGTTATGAGCAATTTCAACTTAATACCTAAAGTTAAGATCTGTTCAAACTAGAATGGCCTTTCTTTGGTCAGACTCTGCGCGGTTGTTCTAATCCCGAGAAGGAAACTTGAGAATAGTCAAGCGCACAGAAGCTCCCTGTGGGGGAGTCTGTTCTCCACCAGTATGGCACTGAGCCAGCTCTTCCTGGTCACCACTGGCCAGCACCTGCCTCTTGACTACAGAGAATACAGTCAGAGGCCTTAGGACCTGCTCAGGACAGGCTGCCTTCCTGGTGCTTTGGAGCAGTGACAGAAGGGACACCACTACTGAAGCCAAGTTTGTGAGCGACAGGCAGGCGGCTGTTCCAGTGTCACAAACCAACCCTTGGTATGAGGCAGAGTAGTTAGAGCCCCCTGCAGCATTCTTTCCCTGTCAAGTGTCCATATTTGTTACAGAGGCATTCAAGCTGTCTTATGACTATAGACCTTGACGCATCAGAAATAATATTTTCCATCTATCAGATTGGCAAAAGGACAGGCTTGAAATTAGTGGAAGTGTGAACAGGAACATCTCTATGGACGGCAGGCTGGCTGGCGGTCACCATCAAAGTCTCATGGCAATCTGTCACCCTCTTCCCTGCACCTTACGGAGCATTCCCAGGGGCATGTAGATGGGGGCAGAGAGGAGACTTACAGATTCAGAAAGGGGAGAAAACTCCTATCCAACCCACCCACAACAACCAACCCCGCCATGTCAGATTGGAATCAGATCCAGTGATGTGACCCTTAGGTTTCAATATAGATAAATCGATCCAGAAAACAGAAATACACATGCGCGCAAGCACACATCCAGACAGTACCAAGCTTCTCCCAGAGGGCTTGAAAGCCTGCCACCCAAGAGCATCAAGGACACCAAGTGTTCAGATTGTCACTTTAAATACTGTCGTCCACTGAAAGAAACCAGAGCTCCTTGGAGAAATGAATTTTCAGAGCTCAGGTAGGAAGCCAAGGACATAAATGCGCCTGAACTGTGTTGTAGCAGAAAGCCAGAAAGCGCCCACAGCGTGATGGCCGCGTGTCCATAGAAATCCCACTCAGAAGAGCTGCTGCTGGCCGCATTGGAGAACATGGGCCTCCATGCTAACAATGACAAAATCCATTGACCGAGGTAGGA